AAAAAATCCAATTTCAAACCTAAATCTTTTACCGATGACCGGCAGCGATGATCCACGGGTGCTTCTTCCGGTTCTCCGGCTTGTTCGCCTCTCTCAGATCGGCCTCCAGCCACTCGTACTGAATTCGAGTGTTTGTGACCGTGTAGATCGGCTGCTCACTGTACGAGTACCAGTAGTAGAACTCGGAGCTAAAGGCGACCACATGGACGGGGCCAATGTTGAAGCTGTAGAAGTGGTTATTGTTCTCGCCCGTCTTCTCGTCGATCATCGTGTAGCGGTTGGTGTAGTGGGTGAAGTTTCTGGATCGGAAAAATTTGAGATTGAAAATTTTTTGTACAATTTGCTGTACGGCAGAAGATTTGTTTTGTTTTTACCGGTAGACCTCGTGGTTGCCCACCACCGTCTGGTAGGGCACGTTGGCCACCGCCGACTCCATCTTGCGCATGTACTCGTCGCCGACGTGGCCGTTGTTCTGTTGAGATAAGTTGATAATAAGCGGGTTAGCATCTTTTTTTTGTACGACAATTTGTTTCTGCAGGGCTACCGTGTCCAGATTGTACGCCAGGTCGCCGACGTGGAGGATGGCGTCGTACTGCTTCTTCGCCACCTGCTCCTTGATGCTGCGCAAAGGTCAAAAGCTTTAGACTTTCAATTTAGGATCAAATCGGTTTTTTACAATGGAATGGAGACGCCATTACTGAGGCCCAGGTCGCCAAAGACGAGAATTCGCGGACTCCAGTGCTCCTGATCCAGTGGGCGGGTGGTGAAGCTGAAACCAGGAGTAAAACCGAACTCTTCGCTGCCGCAACGGTAAACTTCAAAGGAAAAAAGTTAAAAAAGTTTTAGAATAGATTAGAATAAACATTTCAACAGCCGTTGACTCCTTACAGTATTCAGTGCTCGGCTTCAGGTTGTCGAGCAGAACTCGGTGGACGAAGGAGGTTCGATTGCCATTTTGGAAGAAGGTCGAAGTGCCGGTGGCCGTCAGCGAGAGGACGTGCGGCTTGGTGCCGTACTGGACGGTGGCGTTGGCGGCAAAGTGAGCCTTCTCCTCGAAGCTCATCCAGGTGACCCACATTTGGCTGGGGCCCACTGGGGAGAAAAGAAGTTTTAAAAAATTTCAAATGCTGTAAAAAGTAAACATACCACCGTAAGAGATGTGAACCTGCTCCGGGGCGCCAAACTTCACCGGATGCGGTGGGTCCTTGTTCGCCGAGACTGCCACCAGAACAAAAACAAAAGCGAAAAAGAAAACTAAAGACTTCATTTTTTTTGTCGACGGCGACGTTTGCTACGATGTTTGTGTTGGGTGCTGTCAACGAATCAGCAGCGGCTAAAACAAACTGAAAGCCAAGTCAAGTCTGAAAAAAAGACGACGTAATTTGAGCAGCAGCGCAAAAAGTTGAGCGAAAAAGAGGCTGCTCTTAAACTCTTGCGCTCTCATCGTGCCACCCTCGCTTATCAGCAGCGACAAGAAGTGATAGCAGAAGGAACACACTGAACGACACTTGAAAGTGAGGCAGCAGCAGCGGCAGAACTAACCACAGTAGCAAAAAAAGACGATCTTATCACCATCCTTGTACGACAACTCGAGTACAAGATATGAAGCTGGAAATCAGCTGTGATAAAAACTGGTGAGATGATATTGTCCTGAATGAATGTCCTGCGAGTAGTGGTGATGAGAGGTCCAACAGATGTTTTCTCGGTGTGAGAAGAATGGCACCTGCATTTTTAGATCTCAATTGTAGTACATGATACGCAAAAGTACAAGAAAAGTATGATCTTTAAAAGGGTGAGTGTACTTGACATTTATTATCTACGAAGAACGGGGTGGGGACATTTAAGGTGCAGATGTATTTGTTTTCTAAAGTTAAGATAACGGTTTAAGGCTGAAATTGTACAAACTGTGGAAATTCTTGCCACACTTTTATATTCTACAAATCAGTACCAAAGGCAAGCAGCAGGTAGGCAATGTAGCTGAGGAGAAACTCAAAGACGCTAAAGTAGGTCACCTCGCTGATGGGCCCAATAGAAAGGCTTATTTTTGGTCCTCGAATCAGCCGCCCATAGAGGTCCTCGTAGTTGAGCTTGGTGGCGAGCCAAGCGTGGCCCCAGGTGGCCGCCTGCAGGCGGAAGATGAACCGTTTGGGGGAGTGGTAGATGGCCTGGCACCAGGCGAACGGGAGGAGAACTCCCGCGCAGACGGCCAGCTGTACGGCGCAGGCGATGGTGAGCACCAAGGTGAGCGTGGGGTTGGCCGAGCTGAAGAGGATAATCCGCCGGAGGAAGATGACGTTGACGGGAATCTGCGTGTAGAGGAAGCCGAGGAGGATGTCGCCGAAGAGGCGGTCGCTGCCCTCGAGCACCAGGAAAGCTATCATGAGAAGATATTTTTTGGTGTGTTTTTAAAAGTTTCTAAAAAGTTTGACCACTATTTCCACCCTACCCGTCAGACTGTGGTCATCGAAGAACTGGTCCAGAAGGGGGCGGAAGCGAACCGGAAG